CCGCTCCTTTGAAGTCCCGCCCTGCTGTGCTCAGTACCCAGTGCTCTGCACCGGGAGCCCAAGCCCAGGAAGCTTTGGCAGCGAGATCTTGTTAGAAAAATTAGGTTGTGGCATTTTGTTCCCGAAGGAATCTGGTAATTATAGGCAACATCGGGGTTGCTGCGTTAGCTGAGAGCGAAGACTTTGAAGTCAGGGAAATGGGGGTTGCACTGCATCCTGAAGCCAAGCAGCTCTGCTGGGCCTCAGTTTCCCCATCTGCGAAGAAAACGCCTTTCCTAGAGCTCTCGCGATGATGGATGAGACGATGCTTGTAAAGTGTCTGGCCCAGACCTACTCCCCCTCCCCTCCCAAAAGAAACCCTTCTTCATGAGTCACTCGTACCACCCGCCTCCTTTCCAAGCTCCCTTTGCGCGGCCTTTGCTTGGGACATCACGTGGACTAACAAGCGTTCTCCTTGGCCGTTTTCCAGGGTCGTTTCAGCATCAACCTTTACGGAACAGGCCTCTCTTTAACCGAGTCCGCCAGATGGATCTCGCAGGGGAACTATGCCGTCTCCAACATTAAGAAGTCGCCGGTAAGGGGACCGCTGAGTGGAGGGCGGGCGTGGTGTCTCTCTCTTCCCTCTCCCCTCCCTTCCTACCCCTGCCCTCTGCGGTGTACCATGTGCTGTCCCTTTCCACAAACCATTTTGCAAAGTGTCAGAAAACTGAGGAAATAAGTCACAGGTGAGGAGAGTGTCGTTGAGCGTTCTCCGTGGCGTTGTGAGCGGGACATGCTGGTGGTAGTCGGTGCGGCCAGGAGGCGGGAGCAGGAAGAAGCCACCTGGGGAGTGTGAGCACCGGGCGCCTTGCAATTAGCCGACATGAGAGACCCTTTTATGAACTTAGGGGAGAGGATGTTTAAGAAAAACCGAAATACAAACAGGGCTGGAGAAAAGGATAGCGGGTGAAATTTGTGGAGAGTTGGGGAAACACGCATGGGTTCTACAGTAGTCAGTTTTTCATGCTCTAAAACCTCGCGCCTCAAGGTGTGTCCCTGTGGCTAGAACATCAGGATCACCTGGGAGCTGGATGCAGCTTCGGGGCGCAGGCTCTGAGCGTCTGCGCTGGAGGAAGTTGCCAGGTGGTGCTAATGCTACAGCTTGAGACGCCCTGACCCGGCCTGGGTGTCCATTAGAATCACCTGGGAGAGCTTAACATGCACGTGTCCTGGCCCCGCTTGTCACGGGAGGGGCATCCCTGAAGCAGGGGTAGAATGTGAAGTTCTGGGGTGATTCTAATGTGCACTGCCCTTCCCAGCTCCCTCAGAAGCCCTGTCAACCTGTGGCAGGAACCCGCCCGGGGACTCGTGGGGAACTTACAGAAGACGGCCCATGGCCCCGGGCTGACCCCAGACATGACCCCCTCCCAAGGACCCTCGGGACTGTGAGGACGGGAGGGGGCAAGAGAACTGGAAATGGGGTGTTATTCCAAAGGAGAGCTGCCAGACAGAATACGGGAGGCCCAGTATTAGAATTAGATTTTTAAATAAACAAGGAACCCTTTTTTTATTACTATGTCTTCAGCATCACATGCAGCATATTTATTGTAAAAAGTATCTGTTGTTGATCTGAAATTCACCTCTGTTTGGGCATCCTGTATTTTTAGTTGCTAATGCTGTCAAATCAGAATATAAAGAAGCAGCTCAGTCTGCTTCCCCTTGGGAAAGGCAGAATCACCCCATTGTGACTTCCCAGGAAAATCTCAGTTTCCCGGTTCCCTTGTTTTAAGCTGCCAGAGTTATATTTCTGTCTATGAAAAAACAACAAAAAACGGTCTCACTCCCTCTTGTCTCAGCCAATCAACTGCCTCTAATTAGATTGATTGCTCATAAATCAATCGTTGCCCTGAAGGGATGGAGAGAGCTGAGAGCAGCGCACACGTGCTTTAGGATGTGCCCTGCCCTCCAGGGCCTACGTATTATTGTTTCAATGACCCAGAGGAACAAAAAACTAATTAACTGCCCAAAACCTGGTCAGACATGAAACATCATTATGTAGGAAACCATCTATGTAAACTGTGTTACAAGTTTCAATTCTGTTTGGCAGCCAAAGTCAATATCGCAGTTTTATTCACGAAACTGAAAATAATTACAGCCGGGAGCGCCACCTTGTGGAAACAATGATTACTACCGGACAAGATCCCCTGCTGCTCCCCCAGCTTTGGGCGTGGTGTCCCCTGTGCAGGAGGGAATGGGTTCCATAGTTGCCTGTCAGCATTTTCTTTTTAAATCTTGGTGTTTCACGACAGTTCAGAGAGCCTGAGCTCAAAATAACCGCCAGGGACTGTGGGGCATTCCTTATGCCTCCCCTGGAGCCAGACAGCCATCGCTCGCTGCAGGCAGCCCCTGGAGGCAGCCCCTGGAAAGGCCGCTCTTCCTGCCTGATCCCAGGGATGCTCCATGGGAATAGGCCTCGGCAGCCAAAGGCACTTGGAAGAAAACTTGTATTTTCTTTCCTTCTCGAAGCATCACAGCAAGCATGGGGCATGAGAGGTGGGACTACAGTACACAGGGTGGAAAGCTGTGACTTTATTCAAACTAGCGGCCCCCTACATCAGTGGTTCTCAGACCCGTGCCTGCGTCTGCACCACCTCCGGGGCTGGCTGGGGAGGCCCAAATGGACATTCCAACAATGTCGGGGTGGGGGGGGTGTAGAGCGCTCACCAGCCGTGGGCCTGGCTTCTGGCAGAGCGGTGCTCCCCCTGTGGGAGTGCACTGACCACCAGGGGGCAGCTCCTGCATTGAGCGTCTGCCTCCTGGTGGTCAGTGCGCATCATAGCGACCAGTTGTTCAGCCGATTTGCATATTAGCCTTTTATTATATAGGATTACTGTTCCAACATTTTCTCAGCCCTGAGGCTGGCCACAGTTTTTAGGAGCTGGTGGAGGTGGCGAAGGAAGCAGGCTTCCTTGAGATGAACGTGGAAGGCCAGGGGACTGCAGGCTGAGCCAAGGCTGAGCCTGGGCCCGCTGGTACCCACAGCACCACGTGGATTTTGTCCACATGGGACCCCACCCCACCCAGGAGTGAGGCAGGTGGGACAGCCCCTTGGCCCAGGGACCGGCCTCTAGGCAAAGGTTTTCTCTGCACCTGCATGGCTCAGGTGCTAATGCGTTTCTACTCTGCTTGTGTGTGAGGGACAGACAGACAGAAAGAGGTGTGTGGCCCAGAGCTGAGAGCGGAGGGAGAAGGAAAGGAGGTCCCGTCGGGCTGCATGGGAGAGGCACCCCCTCTGTGTGCGCCTGGGGAAGAGGGGGCTGGAGGCCTGTGTTCTGAGACCTCCGGCCTGGCCCCAGGGCCTGCTGACAATCCTGTGCGGTTGCGGAGGAGGAGGGTAGAGGAAGAGCTGTAATAGAAGAATCTCTCTGAAATGTAAAATGAGTGAAGGTTATGTTGCCGTAGAGGAGATAGACTCGGTGCCTGTCCACCTCACTTACAGCCAGTGGCGTGAAGGTGCAGGAGGTAAATGTGTGTTTGTGGGACAAGCAGGTCTCCTTTCTCTACCGTGGGCTGCCTCCCACCTGCGATTCCTTCTGAGAACCCAGCTGTCCGCCACGTGTAGAGGTCACACTGCAGACAGTGTAGTGAAACCACCTTACACACCTGTGCTTTTACGCTGTGCATCCCTGTAGAAATCAGGCACGCTTCTACAGATATTCATATGTATGCGACTCTCTGGGGCCGGATTGAAAGTGTATGTACATCCACATGCCATGTTTTATGGGCAGTTTCACCACCAGCACACGCCAAAGAAAGGTAAATGCGCTCACTCCAGGCCCAGACGTGCTGGCTTGGCTGAGGCACCGGGAGACCTCCCCTCTCAGATTGACTGAGGAAACAGAGAAGTTGGGGAAAGTATGAAATAGAAACCATCCTTAATGGTGCAGAGAGTCATTCATCTTCATATATGTAAGAGCTCAAACAGGCCGGCTAACCACATGTTCGTTGAAGTCATGGGGCTTATTTCTAGAAAGCTCCATTTGCTCTAGTGAAGAACTAAAAACAATTTACAATTACTGATCTGTTGTAGGGGAGTGGGTGCTTCTAAAATGCTGGAAAACAGACCCTTTTCTCAGAAATAGGCACTGTTTCCATGGCAACTTTATGCTACGCATTCCCCCAGTACGTTTTGTTGTTGCTGTTGTTTTGTAATAAAAATAAGTTTGGGGTTAGTTTTTATCTAAATCACAGTAGCTGAGTCCCAATTAATGAAATAACATGACAGTTGCAAAGTCATTATCAACGGTTTTACAAGTACCAGCCTTTCCTCGTCTCCATGACAACAGGCAATGATGGAGATGCACAGAGGAAATACACCCTCATGATACAGACAGCGAATATTCCACAAATATTAGGTTAAGTACTAGACCAAGCACTGTACATGCCTTCATTGACTTACAGCAAACCTGTCAGGAGAGACTGATATCACCCCCATTTCCAGGCGCCCCGGCTTACAGTTACTTAAAGATGCAGCACCGGCCCCACGCCGCCGGCCGGTCCTCTCTCTGCCAGGTCAGGAGAGAGTTTGGGTGAAGCTCAAGCTTTGACGAGACAGAGGCATTCTAGCATGTTGGCATCCTGCGACCACCAGACCAATTCCCAGCCTGGGCGAAGGTTCCTGGCTAGAAGCTTGGTCTGGCATCAGATCCAGTTGCTGGCGTCAGACTCGCTCCGGAACTCACATGGGCCTGAAAACCAGGGCCATCGGGGTGATAGAAACCTCCCCACTCATCTCACTCATACTCCAAGGCATGCACATGTGAGAGAGAGAGAGAGCCTAACTTGTTCTCTTTATTTGTTAAATTGGCCAAGTTCTATATCTAATAAGAGTAGCCTTATTTGCAAGAGACTTTCCTAATTTGGCCATAAGAACCAAATATTCATGGCCTTTGACCCAGTTCTGGGAGTGTAGCCCAAATGCAGGCACACGATGGCCCATCACAGTGTTACTCCCAATAGTGGGTGGCATATGGGAAACATCTAAGATGCCAAACACTGTGCAGAGGGGGGGGGGGGGGTAGCTCGACACGGTGAATTTCCACAGTGGGGGAGACGCCAGTTAAACAAGTTCTTCCTCGCATGGTGAAGTGTTAGGAGAACTAACTAGCAGAGTGATCCGAATCCCAGGTCAAAAAGAAGAGTGCGCCTCAGCCTCATTCATTCATTCATTCATTCATTCAACAGATGCATATTTCGTATCACTCTGAGCCACACAGGGTGGGGGAGACACAGGTTCACAGTGTGAGTGTGTGAAGCACACTTATTTTTGTATTGCTGTTCATTAACTATTGCCTTATTTTCCATATGTACCCCTGCAAACATGCGTTTGCCCACCCCGTATGCTGAGCTAGGTTCTGGAGAGCCTTGAATCCTAAGCTGACATTGCCTTGCCAGCCCGGGGCTCACCTTCTAGCAGGAAGACAGGTGTAAAGGAAGAACTGCCTATCTTTACAGGCTGCTGTGTAGCAGTCACTGGGTCAGGAAGGCATGTCAAGGGAAGGACCCTGGGCTGGGTCCTGAAGGACTTTCCAGTCAAAAGTTGGACTGACCCAGTGCACGCAGAGGGCAAGGAGGAGAGCGAGCTCCAGGTAGAGGAGTGACATGTGCACAGGCCCAGTGTACAGAGCACATCAGAAAAGCAGCCCAAAGAAATTCCGGGAGCAGGGCAGGTATCTGGAAGTGACGGTATCTGGAATGAACACCCAGGACTTCAGGTCAAGGGTGGGGAACGTCCGGCCCGCGGGCCATGAAGGCCCCACAAAATCATTGGGTCTGGCCCTGCCAAGGCATTAGGGGTGCGTAATTAAATGTTTGACCAAATGTAGCAGGCTGAATTTTAAGTTGATAATTTTGTATGGCCTGTGAATGAGGTTATAACTATGCAGATGGCCCCGGGCAGAGAAGAGGTTCCCCACCCCTGCTCTAGATCAAGGGTTGGAAAACTTTCTCCGCTAAGGACAGGTTTATTTTCTCTGGACATATTTCTTTGGCTATTGCAATAGAACAAGATTTCATGGGTAAACTGTTTCCATTCTTGGCTAACAAATGAGCGACTTTGAAACTTATTTACTCATTGCATTTTTTATTTTTACAAAGAAATTATGCTTCGGAGAGATACTCCTTTTTAAACATTCTGAACTTAGGGCCTTGCTCTCCCGTGAGTTGGGAACATTGTGATGAAGGCCGAGTTTGGTAACAGGTTTAGCCGCGGCCGCCAACCCATGGTCCGCAGAACACTGTTGGTCTGTGAGGTCCGGAAGGTTGCGACCGCTGGTTTAGAGTGTTTCTCCTTACGCAGCTGTGATGTCATTGTGTGATAACGCCCAGGCTTTGCCCTCTCAATTTGATGACGTGATAATCCACCCAGCACTGTACCTCAAAAGTGTAGCATCCAGAGTCTACTTTTTTCTTCTTGTTTTGACACTAGTAATAAAAAAAATAAAGCAGAATGTTATGATATATAGTACGCCTGGCACTCAAAGCACTGTCAACTGAAGAGGTGTCCCTGTGATTGGCAGTGTGCAGAGTAGCAATATAGAGCAAGAGAGCTGTCCCAGCTACTCAACCCTGGAGTCATGGAGTGAATGAACAAGGCTACATTTCAATCAAACTTTATGGGCAGTGAAACTTGAATTTTATAAAATTTTCACCTGTCAAGAAGTATTATTATTATTATTATCATTATTATTTGCTTCTTCTAAACTATTTAAAAATGTACACATGCCCTGGCCCGTAGCTCAGTTGGTTAGAGCATCATTCTGATGCGCCAAGGTTGTGGGTTCTATCCCTGGTCAGGGCACATAGAAGAAGCAAGCAATGAATGCATCAATAAGTGGAACAACAAATCAATGTTTCTCTCTGTGTGTCTCCCCCTTCCTCTCTCTCCAAATTAATAAAAAAAAAAAATTAAAACGTCAACACTATGCTGACCTGTGGGCCATCCGGAGGTGGGTGGCAGTATGCCCTGAGCCCACGGCCGTCAACCTGCTTCGCCTCACAGTGAGGGACAGGCCTCGCTGCCTTTCAGAAGGCCCGCCCCCTGTGTGCGCAGGAGCGATTGCCTGCAGAGCCAGGGCAAGCGCTGGAAACGCCAGCCACGCGAGTAGTCTAATGTCATGCGTCTCCTTGCAGGATGGCACCCGAGTCGTGGGGACATGCGGCGGTTACTGTGGGAAATGCACTCCGTCCTCGGGCACTGGCCTGGAGGTTCAGATTTTATAGTTAAGGTAAGTCAGTTCTGTCTGTTTGTCTGTCTATCTCTCTATCTACCTCATTCTTTTCGCAGCCTGCCTCATGAGTAACAAATGTGGCCAGGCCCATTGCCCAGGACTGTCCTGCCTTTTCCTCCCCTGCTCATCTGCCCTCCACCCTGGGATCTGAGGCTTCCTGCGTCAGCTTTGGCTGCAGAGCCGGTTAAATGCTGCTACTGGGCTCTGTCTCAGCAGGTCCTGCCTCAGTGGGTCTCTGGTAGATGCAGGAATCTGTATTTTTAGGACAAAGAATTCTGGTGTGGGTGACTCAACCTTTGCGAATGCTGCCTGGGGTGTTGTAATAATAATACTTAGGGTGTTCACTGCGCCCTGACTGTGTGCCCGGCACCACGCTCAGCACTTTGCAGGCATCATTTCATGGAATCCTCACAAGAAAGCCACACGTGGGGCTGTGATCCTCGTTTCACAGATGGGAGCCGCGGCCCACACAGTAGGCAGTTGGCCTGTGGGCACAATGAGTCCCCTTGGCAGAGCCCGGGCGTGTCCTCCCAGAGCCCCTGCCCTCCTGACTGCACTGTGGCACACACTTGGGGTGCAATTGGAAGCTTGTTAAACATGCAGAACCCCAGGCCTCCCCTTAGGCCCGTGAAACCAGAATCTGCATCCCTAGGAGAGTCGTGCTTGCTGAAGCTTGGCAATCCCTGGTCCAACCACAGTATGCCGACAAGTGCCTTCTCTGCCGGGCAGAGGGCGGATTGGTCCCGCTTTTTCTTGCCCCAGTGCCCTCAGCCACAAGGGAGGAACTCAGCCCACTCATATGACCTCCCACTAACTGCCGTCCAGTTTCCAGCAGCCCATGATCCTGGGAAGCTCTTAGGAGAACCTAGTTGTCACTTATAAAGCAGTATTTCAAGGTTCAATTAAACATCTAAATTCAAAATTATGATCTCAAGTTAGGATTATTTCCTTTGCAAGAGGCAAAAGACCAAAAGGAAACTTACTGTCTTAAATAACTCAGCCATTCAAGCAGTGGGCTGGCTTCAGGCATGGCTGGATCCAGAGGCTCAAACGGAGTCATCCGGACTCGTTCTTTCTCCATCAGTCAGCAGTGCTTGTCTCTTAAACGGCTTCATCCTCAGGCAGGTCATCTCCCCGCACCATGGCCCCCGGCAGCTCTCGGCTCACACCACCCTCACAGCTCATGGTCCCAAGTAAATGCTCATCTCCAGCATCCATTCTGCACAGGAACTCTGGCTCTGGTCGGGTCACATGGCCACTTCTGAACCAATCACAATGCCCAGGAAATGGGGATCATGTACCCACCTAGAGTTGGGTGATTGACAGCTTCATTTGGAAGAGACATAGTTCCCAACGCACAAGGGGTTTGTTATCAGAAATGGGGAGATGGGATGAAGGCAGCAAAGTCAGCAAGTATCCACTAGAGATCCCCATTATATGTGTATTTATATATTTTACATATGGTAAATAAATGTTTGCGTGTGTTTTACATAATATTTACATGTACATATAGGAAAAAGCCTAGAAGGATATATACCAGTATGAGAAGAGCGTTATCTTGGGTGGGAATTTCCGGCTAGTGACTTGTTACTCTTTATGCTTCCCTGAAATCTACAGGTTTCTCATAACAAACATCCTTTACTTGTAAAATCTAAGAGAATAACGTGTGATTGTTCATTCTACATGAAAAAATGTATGCATTGCCTACGCTTGACTTGTGACCTTTGAGACAGAAGATTGACCTTTCTTGGTGGCTCATCTGTTTCCAGGTGCCCTGAAGAGGAAGCCGTGATGGATGGATGAAGGATAGTAATGCAATACCTCCACCTAAAATCTGGGCGTGTGTGTGTGTGCGTGTGCGTGCGTGTGTGTGTGTGTGTGTGTGTGTGTGTGTGGACTTGTATGCTTGTGTGTGTGTGTACATATACATATGCATATATAAACCTATATACACACACACATCTCCGGATATGGGTGTGTATATTTGTGGAATGTCCTAATGATGTAAAGTTTAATATTTATGTTTGAAATTATTTATTGTGATGTAATATTTTTGTACGTAAAATGATTCTATTATGACTGCCTTTTGCAATATTTTGTTCCTTGCAGTCAGACCACTGCATTTTACGTACTCTACATTATATGTAGTATTATGACAAAAGTGATCCTTCATTATCACGGTACACTATTGTTTACTTTCTATATGTAAATCTTTTTATTGCTCATTTTTTTTAAAAAATTGTAATTTGTTTTTTAAAACAATCTAGCTATCATCAAGGTGCTACAGCAGTATTTGCCATTTCTATGAAAGCATCATTAGCCCGTAAGGAATTTAGTGGTCACAGATTGTACCAGCTATGAATTACGTTAAGTATCTATTCAGTTTCACGTGAACTCTGGGAACAAAATTGCTGCCTTGGTGCTACTATTGTATTATTTAAGTGATCTTCAGACTCAGAAATGTAAACACATTTAATAAGGGAGGAACCGAAGGACATTGTCCAATGGACGGAACCAGTTGGCTAGAATGAGACCAGCTGTTTACCCCTGTTTTCGGACATGTCTTTCTTGGAAGAGAGTTGTACTCTGTTCTTTTTATTGTTGTTGTTATTAATATGTTTTGCTTCAGTTCATGGTGCCTCAGTCCCTCCGTGTGAAATGGAGGGCCCCACAAGTAGTGTCATTCCAGGGACCTTGAGAAAGAGAGGTCCTCTCAGCATTTTGCTAAGACTTTCTGAAATGACGTCCAAGTTTACCAGTTGCAAGATGAGGATGCATACATAGAACAGCTGGCCTTCAGCACCTCCAGAGTACCCGGAAGTTCAGAGCCAGGTGCTTAATCATTGCCTTTTGCATGAAAACATTGGCAACATGCCTTCTCCTCCGGCCATGAGCCCGAGACCCTGCCAGTGTTCGTGGCTGCTGCAGCGATCGTCATTTGTGACAAGACATGAACTGTGGAGTACCAGGTTCCCCATCTTTCTGATCATCCATCACCCCACTCTGCTACATCTTTCCAAAAGGAAGTGCCAAAGCCATGGTCCTGCCTTCCAACCTGACCGGAGGGAAGTCATTGCCAACACCCCCTGGCAGACCCTGCCACTTCCACAAACCAAAGAGATGAAGAAAAACCTGGCAGTGTTCTCCAAGCCCCGGAACTCCAGAGCGCGCCAGGAGAGGGTATACTCAGTGTATGAATATGTGCTGTTCTCCATTGTTAACACATTGCAAAAATATACTATGAATAAATACCATGACCACGACCAAACAGTTGTGTTCCACGTGGTTTCTGGACTCTCGTTCAAGTGGGAATGAAAATGTCTCTAGTTTTTAAGATTGCCAGATTGAGAAGAAATGCAGTTCCTAATCTCAGCAATTACAGTTGCTATTTTAGAGACAGATAAGGGATGGGGACTGTCCCCAAGTCTGTCTTTTTATCACTCAAATCAGTGGAAGTGATTCTTCCAAAAATCAGAGGTATAAACCTCTTATCTGTGTGACAGAGAACAAATGAACTAATGACCCAGATTTAAGTGGGATTTGGGAGCTTACCTGTCCATTTTTTTTAACAGTAAGTTCTATACTACAGACTAATGGTGTCTATAGAAATGAGAGCTTCCAAAGAAGTCTAATAGTAAGTGGACATTCACCATATACCAGGCCCTTTATTGAATTGTTTTAGCTCATCCCCACGACTACCCAGGAGAACAGGTAATAAATTTTCGTCATTCTATCGAGAAGGAGACAGAGTCTTCGAGATGCAAGTGGGCCCTCGGTCACAGACAGCGAATAAGGGGCAGTCCCTGAAGAGCTCTGACTGGATGAGTCAGTCACAAGGCCACTTCTGGAGCCCTCACATTGTCCAGTGGAGGTGGGGACCATGTGCCCATTGGGGTCATGTGTCCAGTGATTGACAGCTTCCGTTGGAACAGGGACAGTTCCCAGAACAGAAGAGTTTTGTTATCAGAAAAGGGCAGATGGTATGAAGACAGGCAAAAGCAGCAGGTGTCCACTCTAGATTCCAATTGTGTGTGTTTCATGCACACACATATGTGCATGTTGTGAGCATTTGTATGCACGCACACACGTGCAAGTGTAAAGTCTCCAAGTCCCACAGCTCACACAGTCCCAGCCCCATCCCCGTCATTCACCAGCATCATCTGAACTTTGCTTCTTGTCCCTCCCCTGACATCTGCTGACGGCCTTGGTTTCTTCACCTGTGAAATGAGGCTATTGATAGTCCTCCCCCCTGCCCTGCAGGACTGGGTGTTTGCTGAAGCCCCTCTGAGCCAGGAGCAGCCCTCAGAATGGGCCTGATCGGCAAGGTTAAGCTGACGGCAGAGAAGGCATGGGTTTGGGGCCAGTTAGGAGCGGCGTTCAGCTGCTAATCACAGAGCCTGCCTGCAGCGGCTTACACGCTGGAAGGTGTGTTTCACCGATGTGTCAATTAAACCTGGAGAGAGGCAACCCGGAGGGTGTGACAATTCCACAAAATCATCAGGGATGGAGTTTCTCTATGTACTTCTCAATTTTACACATTCCAGTGTGACTGCTAGAGCTCCAGCAGTCGCTCCCAAATCACAGGCAACAAGGAAAAAGGAACGGTGGGTGTGTAAGAGGTGGCCTGGTCCCAGACCTCTGTCCTTCTTCATAAGAGGATTTCCAGAAACCTCACCCACAGATTCCGGTTGTACCTGTCAGCAGGGATTGCGCCCTCTGGCTGCACCTGGGCTGCGGGGCACGGGGAAATAGGGCAGTTGCACAGAGAGCACTGTCACTGCAGGAAACGAGGAGTCTGTTGCTAGGAAAGAAGGCACATGGGTTGGAAAGAGGCAAATAGAAGTCTCTGCACCAGGGTCAGGTACAGAGACAGGAGTGAAGGTTTGGAAGCAGTTATCAAAGTAAGAAGAGATCACAGAGCCTGGGCAAGAGCTGTAGCCATTGCAGTGCTCAATAATTACAGTGATGTCGGTGGTAGAATGAACAAGCACTGACTGGTTAGGTGCAGGGTGGGCTGTGGGAGAGAAGGCGCTGACTGGCATGAGGACAAGATGAGGTTCCCCTTTGCTTCCAGATAGAAACAGGGTGATGGGAAGGTGACTGGGTGGGTGAATGGACAGATGCAATCTGCTGAAATCCATTAATCTTTTACATTTTTATGTCACTATGCACATTAAATACCGTCTTTCTATTTTACTCATTTATTCATCGATCCAAAGAATATTTATTGCATCTCTGCTAATTTCCAAGCTCTGTTCTGGACACTGGAGGTTCAACAATGTATCAGGGTACAGACCAAGAGGCTGCCCTTTAGGGCTGCCATATCAAAATGCCACAGATTGGGTGGCTTAGGTTACAGAAATATATTTCCTCATAGGCTAGAAGTGCAGGATCAAGGTGCTACTAGGGCTGGTTTCTGGTGAGGCTCCTCTTCCTGGCTTGGAGACAGCCCTCTTCTTGTTCTTGCTGTGACCCCACATGGGCTTTCCCAAGGAGAGAGAGAGAGAGAGAGAGAGAGAGAGAGAGAGAGAGAGATCTGGTCTCTTCCTCTTATAAGGACCCCCATCCTTTTGGATTAGGGCTCCACCCTTATGACCTCATTTGACCTTGATGACCTTCTTAGAAGCCCTAGCTCCAGATATAGTCACATTAGGAGTTAGGGCTCCAACATAAAGTTTGGAAGACAATGCATTTCATAACAGAGGCTATGCCAAAGAGACCCCAAAATAAGATGGGCATTTATTCCTCTCCCGTTGGCTGTGCAGAGATGGGCAGGCGGGGGCCTGGTGGGTGGCTCTGTCTGCATGGCATCAAAGAACTCAGGCTCCTCCTGTTTTGTGGCTTGGCCATTCTCTGAGGCATCATCCTCACAAGGCTCATCCTCACCGTGTCTGTCTCTAACCTGCAGGAAGGGGACAACCATTTTAAGGCAAGACCTGGAAGTTAAAGAAGAACTTTTATTCACAACTTATTGGCAGTTGCCTAGATGCATAGCTTCATGTAGCTGCAAGAGAGGCTGGGAAGTGTACTCTCTAGTTGGCAGTGCACACCCAGCTACTGCCCAGTGGGGCTCTGTTACTAACAGGAAGGAGGGGAGATTGGGCAGCTGCATCTGCCACAGCAGTGAACAAAACCTACAGAAATCTCTGCCTTTTGGAGCTTCCATTTTAGTGGTGACAGACAAGAGAAAAATAAGCAAGTAAAACACTGCGATTCTTTTCTTGAAATAAATCTGACCGTGTTTCCCACCATGGCCACTCCTATCCCATGGTGACATGTCCTGTCACTGCCTGAGCACCAGTGCCTTGCATTCCCAGAGCATCCACACATGCTGTTCCTCCCTCTGCTCTAGAGTGCTGATTTTCCTTCGTCTGCAGATGGATACAAAAATCATGAATAGCGAGCAAAACCTAGGATGGCGGGTGGAGAGAAGCACTAGAGCAACGGTTCTCAACCTGTGGGTCGCGACCCCTTTGGGGGTCGAACGACCCTTTCACAGGGGTCGCCTAAGACCATCCGAAAACACATATATAATTACATATTGTTTCTCCACCGCAGTGGCCCTGGGAAACTCTCCCTGTCACCAACAGGTGGCAGCAGAGGTCCGGCTCTGTCATTTCAGTCTGGAGTGGGCCACTGCACTGTTAGCCTGCAGGGTTTTGCTGCTAGCTTTTTTTAAAGGTTTTTTACTGTGGTAAATACACGTAACAAAATTTAACATCTTAACTGTTTTTGAAGTGCACAGCTCAGTGGCATTAAGGACATTCACATTGTTGTGCAACCATCACTACCATCCATCCCCAGATGGTGGGACCTCTTTCCTCTTACAAAACAGAAACTGTGTCCTAAACATCCCCCACCTCTTTTTCTACTCTACTTTGTGTCTGTAAGTGTGATGGCTTTAGGCACTTCCTGTAAGTGGAATCATACACTATTTGCCTTATTTCCCTGAGCATAACATCCATGTTGTATCATGGCTCAGAATTCCCTTTAAGAAAATATTTTTCAATTACCATTGACATACAATATTATATTAGTTTCAGGTGTGCAACCCCATGATTAGACATTATGTAACTTACAAAGTGATCACCCTGATCATTCTAGTACCCATCTGACACCACACATAGTTATTACAGTGTTATTGGCTATATTCCCCATGATGTATTTTACATCCCTGTGACTATTCTTATAACTGGTAATTTGTATTTCTTAATTCCTTCACCTTTTTAAACCAGCCCCCAACCCCCTCCCATCTGGAGACCATCAGTTTGTTCTCTGTATCTGATTTTTCTGCTTATTTCAGAGGTGATTTTGCAAGGACATTTTGAGGTCCTAGGCCCTGAGAAGATTATGTTATTTCCCTCAAACACATACCTCAAAATTAAAAATAAGTCCAGACCGTGAATTTAGGGTGTGTATTTTCATGAAGACTATTTTTTTTAAATATCAAATATCAATTTCTCGAAAAAACCTGAAGACCATCTTTGCTGCAGCCAGAGCGCAGGTTTCCTCGGCTCGGTAGGTGACCAGCTAGTTTTACATGATTAATCCCAATGATACCCAATAAGGACTCTGAGCCGCGAGTTTGACATGCTGGCCTTACAGGCTATTGATAGGAGTGTCTGTGTGGTTGAGGATGGTGTTTGTACATAAAAAAGACAACTAATATTCAATTTATTACATTTCCAAGTACAAAAACCTAGTTCTTAAAAGAACTTCAGAGTTCAGCTTACAAATCCTATTATTATACTTATCAGCCTAGTGTTTAGCAATTACTTTTTGAAAAACTTCTGAATGCTGTTTGCTCCATTCATGACTTAGACAATTAAAAGCATTCTAATATTTTGTACAGTATTTATGCATTTCATGAATTTTATTCCTGTCATACGTCCTTCAATTATCTAACTTATGAAAGTCTTTTCTAACTATTTAATCTTTATAAACACAAAAATATAAATATTATATGAATCAGTAGACTTAAGGTTCTTTTAAATATTTCAAAGTGGAAAATTAATTTAGTATGGTTTTAACTTAAAACACATTTTAAATTGGCATTATAAACTACCACTCTAACAGCTCGAATGTTTAAAATCGTGTCTATTATATAAACTATTAGCTATCAAGTTTTCACATGTTCCTTAGCACACAAATGTTCATACGGGGGTCCTGATTCCCTTGAGCATTTTTAGATCTTAGCTCTTGCTCTTGGCATGACTAAGAGTCCTGTGCTCACTCAGCGCTGTAGACTCAGGTAAAGCTC